TCTCTCCCTCATCAATCTATGGCCCTATGTATTAAATTATGTTCCCAACAATACATATATGTGATAGCATCTACGGGTTGACACTTGTAGTTCCTTCATCAGCGGAAAAGGAAATAATAATAATAAAAATAATATTAATAACAATGATGATAATAATAATAAAAATAATAACTTTAATTTCAATTTGTTTATTACTCGCATGCGAACATTTGTTGTACACTGCAGCGGCAGCGCCTTGTATACCTCTCTAGCTGCAAGCTATTTGAGAGTAAAACTCATATCCATTACCTTATTATAATATCTTTTACAGGTACATAGTATAAATCTATTTGTTTTGTTTTCAAATTAAATAATATATAATAAACAACTATAATTTGAAGAATAACACTTTTTTTACTTTTTTATATTTTTTATTATTTTTTTTATTATATTTGACTTTGAGCTAGTATGTTTTTTTTATATATGTGTGTGTTTCATGATAGTATTATTTGAATAATTAGTTATGGGCCGGGCTGGTAGCTCCGTGTTAAAACCCGGGGCCGTCAATGCTTCTGTCACCCAGTTTCACCATTCCATATTATGTATACATTTATTTAATTGGGTTGGAATTCATGCAAACTATTGATTAAGAATACTCATAAAACAACGAGTGATTAGCATTTTACACTACCAAAAGACTTTTCAAACAAGTTTGTGCATACAGATTTTAAATAACACTTAGGTATGAAAATGTATCTTTTATGAATAAAACTAACAATGTTTCCCCTATCCTGTCTCCTCACTTTGGGAAAAAAGAAAAAAACCAATGATCCAGTCCAGTTCAGATCAAAATAGATGGAAGTAAAAAGTGAGGTTATGTAGCTCAAATCTTCATTCCTCAACTCATGCTTGTTTAATGACTACATTTGACATGAAAGTGTTGATAAAATTGAAATAAATAAATACTAAGTCCTATAAAATAATAATAATAATGACAATTTCAATTTTCAATTTTAATTAGTTTATTCTCGCATGCGAAAATTTGCTGTACACTGCAGCGCCTTGTATACCTCTCTAGCTGCAAGCTATTTGAATAATATTAATAATAATAATAACAACAATAATAATTATAATAATACAAGCGACTATATACTGCCATCTTTAGTAGACATAAAAATAACTGATCAAGCTCACCACAAATAGCTTAATGAATACAATATAATGAGGACTAGATAACGTGTGGGTATTAAAAATCATAAATATTTACTTGTGAAAACCTGACGTTGGCTCGGGTGTGTTCAATAAGGACATTTCTAAATCAACACGAAAATAAATCTTGCCATCAAAAGGATTTGTAATAATATAAAATATACAGTACTTTTAAATCAAATATATTAACTAACACTAGCATAATGAAGTTTGTAAGTACCCTAACAGCATATCTATTATAGTACGGCAGTTGCCGTCTTTGAAGTAGTTAACAACAACAAGCTTGCCGGGTGTAAAACTCAGCAGTAAAGTAAACTGATATTTAACGATGGTAATTTTCATAGACCACATTGTTAACAGTAGTTGGTAGTTGCGAAATTTATGGGATGTACTCCATTTATTACCAAATTCAATATAACAATCTGCAAAACGTCCCGGATATAATGGACAAAAGTGGTTTAAGCATCGGTCCGCTTCTTTATGGTGCCATTAAACCGGATAAAACTGAACATTCCAGCTCGTCACATTTTGTCCGTCTATCCGTGGCTTGCACCTACAGCAGTGGGTGCTGAGGTCTTTGTGTTGGCAGATCCTGGGTGTTGCTACAGTTAAACATTACAGTCTTTTATTACTTGTAATATCGACAGATTACCTATACTTTCTCAAGGCCAACATATTTAACGTTTCTTCGCTTATGCATCGATTTACAGCATAAATTATTTTTTTTACAAATTACAACCCAGTACACTTTGTAACGATTTGTTTATTTTTACTCATTACAAGTATTACTCTACTGTACCAGATTTAGCATGACTTTTTCTTGTATAATATCCTGATTAATATTCTACGTGTATTCTTTTTTTTTTTTAAAGATATTTATAACCATCCTAAAACCTAGTGTTTGAAACGACAGAACAAGAGGGTTGTCAGGTGATTCATTACAAAAGCCGTTATAGTCGCTTTGTCCCTGTAGAAGTACGCTATCCTTAGCTAAATTGCTCTGGTTACAGCGAGCTATTAATTGCATTACTCTAGATAACTTTACCGCGATGTGAATTGTCGTAAAACAATATCCAAACACTCTCTCCCTCCCTTGGCGACTTCAGCTATCAACGGATAACAAAACTGGTAGTTTGTGTTGAATAAACATACCCATAATGTTTTAATCATGCCAATTTTATTTATAGTAGGGTCAAAGTTTGAATTTCCTTTTATTATGAATTTGTCCAGGTAAGATTATTTTTTAACTGCTTGGTTTGCAGGTTTTTTGCAATGGCCTTTTTCACCTATCTTATTTCAAGCTTTAATAAAACGTTAATAAAACGGCAAAAACGTTTTCATAGGATTATTTCAAATTTATGCATATAAAAAGACACATGGTAATAGTCCTATTCCGACATATACATTCAATTATAACTGATTCATATCATATGACATATCATGTGCTATGCACAATGCACATCGACATTTGATTAACATTTTATTACAGATGAACAGCGAAGTAAAAATAAATGTTAAAATTTGATGTAAATATACTAAACCAAGACTATGACGGAGGTGAAAAAGAGTTTGTAATATAAACGTTGATTTGCAACTCAAAGGTTTAGTTTACAGTGGTTCGTCTTTCGCTGACCCGTTGCTGAAAGATCTGTGTATAGCATTTCATATTCTAGCTTTTAATACTATCTAAGTTTTGACTATGATTTAGGTATTTGCCTATTATTTTGTATGTTTACCTATTAGTTTCTTCGATGAAGTTAAAACATCTTTATTACATTTAATTTAAGATGAAATTTTTATCCATCGTCTTTATAAATCAAATATTTGTGTTTTACAACTGCCAGACCAATGCATTAATAGCACGTAAACTGTGATGTTTAGTGGGCAATGTTGTAGGGTCAGCAGTTCTATCTATAGCCAGTATCCTAACAGTTATCCAGTCTATATCCTACAGACTTACACCAATGTTTAGGCATCGAACATTCGTGGGGTTGTAATCTCGCCCAAGTGTCGATAGTCATTTCTTCTAATACAAAAGAATTAACAGCATAGCCCCTACAAATAAGGTAATGAAGGAGACATTTACTCGATTGAAACACAGATATAAAGTCGGAATGCCTCGATGAACTGTAATGGTCCTTTCGCCTTGTGGATTAACGGCAGTCGTTAAAAACATTACGACCACTGAGCCGATAGAGCTAGTAAATTACTTTGTCTGATTCTTTAGATTTGTTCCACCATGATAAATGGGGGATACGGCAGGAAATTGGTAGTTTCAAACGTAAAATAGTACTCTCTTTAAAAGTTTGCAAATTACTGCGTTATTTGAATTTACTGTTATGATACTTAGTATAAATGTAACATGTTTATGTATGTAACCTAAATAATTTGTATTATTTTTTGCAATACTAAGTATTGCCATAAATTGATAACTAATGATCGCGAGACCGTAAATTTCTTTAATTTTAATTTTATATTAGAATTAGGACAGATATTTACAAAATTTTACGAAAAAAGTTTTATTACTAGATGGTTAATTCGTACTTAATACCTTCAAACCTGCACAGGTATTTGTGCTACAAAACTTTTTATTGTTATCTCATTTGTTTGTTTAATTTACACGTGGACCCAATTGTATATGTTGTGTAAGAAATTACATATATTCTGTAGATGTAAAACATCTAGCAGTGAAGTTAGTTAGAGATAACCAATTCCTTCTCCAGCAAACTATTTGCTTGTAAATGGTTCTGGAACGGTAGAGATTTTACATCTAGAACCGGTGATCGTATTTCATTGCGTCTGCCTACAACGACCCAACATTACATACATTACAACACAAGCGAGTGCGTGGTTCAGGCAGAAGAAAGGAATGTAAAGCAAACGTAGATTTACAACTCAAAGGTTCGGTTAGGGACGGTGAATTATGTCGTCGTCCTGAGCTAACCCTCAACGCATCTTTCTTGTCCGAAACTTTCCCCCCCTTCTGCAGGGGATGATTAGAATGCTCTCTCCTATTTGCAGTTCAACTTTTAAAAGATTTCAAATATGAAAGGACTGGGGGAAAGATTCCTTTTACCGGAAATCTTAATTGTTTTTTCCAAAATCATGAGACAACGTTGCATTTAGCTTTTAGCTCCTACCGTACTTACTTACTGCTGCGGCCACTGGTAACCTAAATGGTACTTGGCTTCCATATATGTCTGCATTCTGCGTCAATTTCTTTTAACAATAGCATTAAGGAAAAATTTTCTACAAAAATGCATTGAACGTAAACAGGGGTTTTCGTTTCAATGGCCAGTTTTCACAACTTATAGTTGGTATAGGTAAAGAAAGGCGTATACATTTAGAGACCTTCTGAAGGTTCTAAGATACATATTTTGAGGTGGGTTCATTCCAATACAGTCTAATTGCCTGAAGTATGCATATGCTGAACTAATTAAAATAGCATACCAAAATATCTAATTGATTTTTTACCTCTCAATATTCTAAAATTAGCAACCAGCCATGAAAGAACGTGATATTATACGTTCTGCAAGGTTGTTTTACGGAAAAACTTGTGCCTTTATCCAAGACGACTATTTTAATAAAGTATGTGAAATTTGCTTTCAACTAGGAAAAAGAGTATAAATGTTGTGGATTTGTTAAAAATAAAACAAGTTATTGGTTTTTCTTAAGAAACAAATTAAATTCGCCTAGTTACTTTTTAAAAATAAGTTAGTTTTGTATTGATTAACCTGTTACATTTTAAGGTAGGATGAATATGTGAAGCATGTAGATAAACAATTCAAACCTAACACGTTATTCTGTTACAGGGGGTTCGGATTCATAACGTTCGCAGACCCTTCTAGTGTAGACAAGGTCCTATCACAAGGAACACACGAACTAGATGGAAAAAAGGTGAGTGATTACTGTTACGGTACCATCGATATATAACTAATAGTAGTTATATATCAATAATATTTTTATCATTACATATTGGTTTGGGGTGGACCAAAAAAACAGGGACAATTTAAAAATGTTATTACTCAGCTGTTATTAAGGCTGGAAAGTTCATTGATGTGGCAAAAGCAAGTTTATTGGATGCCATTTAGTGTATAGTTACTATGGATCATCAATGGTTATCGCAACATCGTGCCTGTGTCATAGAGACTTTTTTGAAGAATAATTTGACTATCATTTCTACTCAACGTCAATTTCGTGTTCACTTCAACTTTGGCCCTAATGGTGCAGCCCCAAACCGAATAAACTACTCAAAGATGGGTAAACAATGTCCTAAACACGGCTTTTGTACTCAAAATTAAACCTATGCAAATTTAAATTTCAATGCAATGTTTTGCAAACGGTTGGCTTTGGACGCTCGACGCAGGACACTCGCGCGAACTATTTCAATGTTTTCCGGCGTTCGAACAGTCCGAGGTATCTTACTAGGTTTGACTTTGAGTGCAGAAGACGTGTTCTGGAAATTACTTACCCAACTTTAAATAGTTTTTCGCTTTGGGGTTGCACCATTACGGCCAATGTTTAAGTAAAAACAAAATTGACGTTGAGTAGAAATGAAAGTCAAATTATTCTTCAAAAAATTCTCTATGACAAAGGCACGATGTTGCGGTAACCATTGATGATCCATAGTAACTATACACTAAATGGCATCCAATAAACTTTCTTTTGTCGCATCAATGAACTCTCCAGCCTTTATGACAGCTGAGTAATAACATTTTAAAATTGTCCCTGTTTATTTGGTCCACCCTTTATAACTACGACAAAGAGTGACAGTGCTAATTTTACTCCAATGCAAGCAAACGGTAAAGTTGTACAGTAACATGATTTTGCCTACCACTAAATTCAAATTAATATCCCCTAGGGCATTTTAGGGGGTAAAATGTTTAGTCCTAAAATATAACAAAAACATTTCATTGGCACAATAAAATCATACATCTTTTTTTCTTAATGGGGATTATGTTATTGTTATACAAGTCTTTAATATGCTTTTACCTACGGCAGTTTTTTTAAGTAGCCTTTCGGTTCAGTTCAAACAGTTTCACATAACAGCATTGTTTACTTTCATAACAGCATATTTTTACTTATAACAACACGGGTAACGGACCAATGAGGTTCAAGAATTTAGTGAGAAGAAGTAAAATTAATGATCCGAACTTTAAATAATCAACTAATCAGGCCAATTTAATTGTTGAGTAGTGCAATTCGTGTCTGGTACAATGTTTCGTTGCATCACTGTCAGTGGCAATGAGAGGTTATAAACGAAAACATAACCTCTCTTAGAAGTTATGAGTAGTGATTTTTAGTAATTAAAACACCGTCGCACGCTACCCGCGACACTCGTAGATGTTTTTAAGGCACTCGCCAAAGCTCGTAGGCCTACCTTAAATGTTCTACTCGTGTCGTTGATACTTTCTTTACGCAATTGCTGCGTGAACTACTATAACGACACTCGTAGATGTTTTGTAGCCACTCGCCAAAGCTCGTACCTTAAATGTTCTACTCGTGTCGTTGATACTTTCTTTACGCAATTGCTGCGTGAACTACTATAACGACACTCGTAGATGTTTTGTAGCCACTCGCCAAAGCTCGTACCTTAAATGTTCTACTCGTGTCGTTACTTTACACAATTGATGCGTAAACTACTATACCGACACTCATAGATGTTTTTAAGGCACTCGCCAAGGTTCGTACCTTAAATTTTCCACTCGTGTCGTTAACACTATCTTCAACTACTATTAACGAATAAACCAATATTTTTTGTGTTTAGGTATGGTTAACTAAATAGAAACTAGAAAATCGTGCTTACTGCCACCTCACGATAGTTTATTACATCTAAGGGTTGTATCACGAAGTACTCCACACAAATGTAAGTAAATAGTGCTCGAGTGTGTGAGTGTAGGATAGGAGAGGAAGATAGAGATATATAGAGCGATGTGCGGTTTTCTAATAAAGCGTCGCGGTAGGAGCACTCCTATTGACTTAGCTCTACAATCAAACGCTTATGGTGGCCTGATATCTTAGAGGTATCTAAATACCGTGTCGTTATTTGTAATCAAAATACTCCCCTGTGTAACATATAAAAACATTATGGCAATAATGTCTTGGTAATATTTGGTAATTATTAATCAAATAGTAATGAATAGGTAGTGAGTGATGTTTATGCAATCACTGTGTTCGCATTACTTATTAATATTCTCCTTTATTTTATCTCAGATTATTAAAAATGATGTACTTTTAATCCTTTATGTCCTTAAATCATAGCCTATGTACAATAAATGAAAGCGTGTGTTTACTTGCCCTTAAAATGTCATGCTGGTTTTAAGCTTCCATAATACGAATTACCTTTATGATGGCTTGCATGGCTCCAAAGGATGTTCAAACAAAGCAGCTGATTATATACTGAGATTGGAGCCTTATCCAAGGTCAATAACAACATTGTTCATATTATTGAGATTTAGCTTCAATCAGGATTGAATTCTGAGGAAAATATATGTCGTGTCATGCTCAGTGCTCTTGTAAACTTAAGATAAAAAAACGATATTGTATTTGACATAACAATTTTGTTTTTAGTCCTTACTTGTCCCATGAAATAAAATGTTCTCTGCTTAAAAATATAAACCACTTGAAACTGTAAAATCTTAAATATAGAATTTGATATTTTCTTTTTAATTATTTAAAATTTAATTTGGCTTTACAACAATTAAGATTCATACAAGGCAACGTTGCCTTGATTCATATCAAATAACTTTTTTACCCCGATGTTTACTGATAGGTTTCAACATCAAAATATTGACTGTAGGCCTAACAAAATACTAATTAGTCTAAGAGTGACATTGTCTTAAAATTGAATTTAAAATTGCCAAGGCTTACGAATTAATAAATTAAATGATAACAATGAAAATGTCAAATAGTTTTAAAAAGTCTCTTTAATTACAATTTTTAAGCTTCTTTGCGTAAAGTCAAGGGTTGAAATAAGCCGCACAGAAGTCGAGTAATGAATGTGAACTTGGGACCGCCAACAAAGCCTTAGAACAATGCAGAGTCCCTTGGCTAGGAATTATTATAACTCTTTTTTTACTTGATCTTCCGTTTGTGGAATTAAAACTGCATGGCAGCCTTCTGCTCTAGATTATTGTTGGTACTAACGTATTATACCGACCACACCTAATAATATTATAAACTAACCTAACCTAACCACGTTTAGTCTTTCGTTTAGGTTAGGCTAGGTTAGGAATATTCTTTTTAACCAATTAAAATCTTACTTGGAAGTAGTTTTTCAGTATGGTCGGTATAATACTTAAGTACCTATTTTTTTATCGTGATCTTTAAAATAAAGATTCTTTTTGTAATGTTCTATTTGATTACATTACAAACCACAAACAAATGCGGCTTGTTTTTTCACATACCAGGTGTTTTCACATATGATTGCCCAAGTAATTGGTACATATTTTGACGTTTTACTAATCATTACTAATTAGTACTACCCACAACTTCATTTTCCATTGAACCTTAAACAAATAAAAATATCCTAACAGGCTCCTATTTACCAAATAATAGTTTTCTAAAAATGTTGATCTAAAAAAGATCAAAGAAAGCTTCTCAATTTTTTTTTATTTTCTCTGCTTTGTGTAAATAAATGCATGCATGGGCATAACTTTTATTAGTGAGAGGCTATGTTTCAATAAAAAAAAAACAAGCAGTAAACAAAAAATTAACATGATTTTCAAACACATTGTAAAATGAAACTAACTACGTAAACTTAGTTTTACGGAACCATAACTAGGAAATAACTGCTTACTACAAAAACATTGGATGGATTCTCGAAGTGGTGACAACATCGGCAACAGACCGACTATTAGTATTCGATGTTCACCGAATACAACACTTGCTTTTAGCCTAATAACACGTTCAGAAAATGAAATTTGTTTTCTATATTCTTGCATTTATTTCATGTTCGTTTACTTTATATAGCAATCTTTTTAAATAAAAACTTCAAGATTATTATCGGTTTGTATCATATTAATAAGCAGAAAATCTTAATTTTAAACCTTGAACATTTAAACTATTTAATGTTATATACAAGTTTAAAAATCAACAAATAATTATTAATTTATATTAAAATATCTTTAGTTAGGCATATTTTATAATCTTAAACAAATTAAAAAATTCAAATAAAGTAATCTACTGTCGTATATTTTCGCAAAATCGATTTAGATCACCCAATCTTGCATATTTCATCATCGCCCAGATATGAGATCTGGCGTCGATCAAAACAATTATTCAAATTGCAATTATTTCCGCTTCCCAATTAAGCCACCCTCCACCACTCAATCCCTAACGTCACGTTTAAGGAACATTTCTTATAATATTGGCCTTAATTGAGGATTATTATTTTTATTTTTCTTGTTTCGCTGATCATTGGGGAACAAAGCGTTCTTTATAATAAATAGATAAATAAAAATGACTTTATTAAAGCGTTTCCCGGTCCCCAAGTTTTACAAAAAAAACTTAGTCACTATATAACAAACTATCCTATGCTATTATTTGGCCTCTATCACTTAGGATATCCTTAAACATTTCTTAAAAACAACTCTCTAAGTTTGTCTTTAACATATTGTTAGAGGCAACAAGCTTCAGACCGTTGGGTAGACCAGTACAATGAGGGTCCAAAGTAAGACAAGCTCTTCCTCCCAATCTCTAGGAAAGCTCTTGGGAGGTGAAGCCTCCCACCATGACGTGTCCTGTGCTGGAAAACCTCATGGCGAAGAGACAGCATCTCGCGTAAATAGTCGGGCTTACAAAGAGACAACACTCTGTGGATCATGAAACACGTTAACAACCTGCACATGGCGTCAACAGGAAGCAGATGAACGACTTCACGATAAGGAGAGACATGA